TATATATATACGTGCGTCTTCTTGTGATACAGTATAATCGAAATAACGTGTTTGTTATGTATCGTTTATGTCTCTTTAATTACAATATAATTAAAAACTTTCTTTAACTAATAGGTGTAGTATTTTCTCTAATAACTGTTGAAATATGTCACATGTTGGGGTTATGTTTTTTCATAAGAACGGTTCAATGATGCTACAAGAGTCGGACGCTTCGTATACCTTTCTGCAGTCCTGGCCGACATAATATTCGGCCATATTTGTCTACGTTGTGGTTTTAACAAGTGTATAAGCTGCTGTGTAAGAGACGTTAACTTAAGATCAAACCTATACATCAGACTTAGTGAAAATAACAAGGTTGGAAGTACGAAACCGGTTTATAATATGGGCAAGTACTGTTAATAACACTTATTGTTAATCATCGTAACAGTTGCAAATAATGAAACAAGTTGTTGTATGAAATATATACCAAGCATTATTTTAACATTTCTTACTATCTTCAAAGCCACTCAGTAATGCATCGAATTATATAATCTCTAACTCGCAAGTGTACAAGCTGCTGTGTAACAGACGTTAACTTCAGATCAAACCTATACAGACTTAGTGAAAATAACAAGGTTAGTGATGTTGTGTTGTAGAGAAAATATCTAACCTGATAATCGATTAACCCGTAAATAAAACCATGGGTAAACCGAAAACAAGATATTTAACAGGGGTCAGGTTAATTTCTCCAAGCTTGTTCCTTTGGTTGTGGTTTCGCTAGATAGTTGATAGGGACAGTGGAAATCTCGTTCATCCTTTCATGCGAGTCACTAATTAGATGACGAGGCATATGGCTACCTTAAGAGAGTCAGAGTTCGGAATAACTCAATATATGAATATTAATACACGACAGGTATTGTACGTGTTTCTATTCAAAGAAATCTGCAAAAAAAGGTTACACGTCAAGATGTCTTTTGTCAGTTTACTGTACACTGGATAGGAAGTCATTATGTATATGAACTATAAACATGGCATGCTAATTATCTCCGAGTTACACTCCAGCTGCCACGAATATAATCAAACACAAACAACATTAGTAGCGTATTTTATTTGATAATCTGTCTACTGCTGTGATATAACGACAACAACACGGTAATCAAACGAATGTAAAATAAAAACTTAACCAAACAATACGTATGTACAATATTGGGAGAAATTTGTGTGGACCCCAGCTCAAGGTTTCCACAGAAACCAAGTGAATAGGAAGGAGGATAACAGATAAAGAATAACGAAAGTGAAATAGAAGTGACTGTATCAAATTAAGGAAGCGTGTGGTAACAATACCATATGTATGATACGTGATGTATGGATAAAAAAATCAATATAGTTAAAATGATGATTGATATACCAGTAAAAGGAATTACAGATAATCCTAAAATAAATACCATGGTATTGGTAAGCCTAAGCGAATGGTATAGGGAAAAAAAAAAAGATATCTAAGACTAATTGCTAACCTGAACTTGACTATGAGTATTAACCAATCTAATAGCAATAAAACTTAAGATGTGGAACCCAAATAACGACAGCTAATATTAACAATAAAATTATTCAAAAACCATAACATTAGAACGTCTTATCTTTCCATAGTCAGCGGACTATAATGTATTTCAAATGTGTGGGACCCCACTGACGAAATCAGTTCATTGGACAATCAATCTCCCGACGAAGTAAAGCCAAAAATCTTCCCGCAGAATACAGCGACCTGAAGCCTGTATAAATGTGCTAATAGAACATATAACCTCCGAAGTGGTAACGTATAATTCATAATGCAAAATTAATAACCAAACACAAATGTGTTGGCACTGGCAGAAACAAATATAAAGTTTATGTAATGAATTATGATGTAATAAGTTCAGTAACCGGGTAGAAATAGAAAACAATTCCACTTCGGAATAACTCAACAAGTTACAAATATCACTATTGTATAATAAATAGTAATCCTGTTGAGAAAAATTAATACAAAAATATGAAAATAAAACACTTGAAGAGCGCACAAACCAAACGTTATCACACTAATAGTAAGAGTACCAAACGAGAAGTTTGGTGGAATTGAATAGAGGTAAATCACATATGTCAATAGTGTGTGTCGCGCTCTTGTTGTCGCATGATAATCTGCATGCGAGACGCATTGGAATTAGGAAATTCCATATGGGTGGGAGTTTCAAGGCTTGTGGCGTGCGCAAAAAGAAATTGCATATAGAGGGCAGAACTGAACGAGTATAGGTATTTATGTGAGAGGGGTGATGTGTCATATCGGAAACTGTTTTAATGAGCGATATATAACGTTCTTGAAGCTGGCCTTTTTTTCTTTTGAAGATGCAAAAAGAACTGAATACAGTTTTTGAACACCAGTAATTGTACCAAGTAAATAGTGTAAAAGCTATACAGTACCTTATCTATTAAATGACTACGACCATTCCCACATTATTAAAGCAGTTCATCAAAATGAGTAAACACATTACAATGTATAACATGTACATGCTCTTAATGAACATAAGATTGCTAATTCTGAGTGAAAACTATATCTTGTAAACACCACTTTTATGGAGTATAACACCTTCATGAAAATATGTGCTACATAATGTTTTTATGTATTTAAGGGTTAATGTATCAAAGTTAAAAGGTAAGTTAAAGAGAATCCAAATTTACTGTTGTATTTTATTGTGTAGGTATATTCTTACACAATTTTTTTTTGTGTTCTCTTTTAAAAGATGTTTTATTTACATGTACTATAAATATTTTCTCATTATACTATTGAATAATGATTATTAATTTTGGTTTAATGATAAATATTGTTCTGTTTAGTGGGTGGAGAAGACAATGTACAGTTAAAGAGACAGCTGAACATAAACTACCAGAAGATTAACTGTGAATGGTAGTTAAAATCTTCCTTCCACTTTGTAACTTCCAGAACCTTTTATTTCCATTATAACTTCATCCTAGTGTTCTTCCATATTTAATCACATTTCTTCAAATCTTTTCTAAAATGAAGTTATTTTTGGTTTCCATGCCTTTTGTTGTGATGCTAGTTACTGCACTGTATTTACAAAAATGTTTTATGGAGGTCTTTCTCTCCTTTTCCCTTAAATATATATATATAACATTAATATCAACAATTTGGTCTAAAGTAATTAAAACAATGGGCATTTATAAACTCAATTTTGTAAAAGCTAAAAGCTTATCTACTGATGGACAATTAGAAATGCAAAAACTTCAAGAAAAGTTCTGGGACATGATCCTTAGAATATTCATTTTCAAAAGCATTTTGATAAAAGTTTAAAACCTCCATATTTTTATTTTTTTTTCGCATTTTTGATAAACCTAGTTAAGCCACACAACTAAAAGAAATGACCAATGAATAAGTCTTCTATTTCTAATACTCAGGGTAAAAAGGCCTTTAGATGTTTGAAATTTATATGTTTTATTATCTGCACTCTTTCATCAATAGAGAAAATATATTATTTTAAAAAATAGTACTTGAACAAAAATATATTTCATTTTCTCAAAAAACCTATAATAATAGTCTGTGTCTATATTACTGTATACATACATCTTATAGTTTGTATGAAATTGTTTTCAAGAATTATTTAGTTAATGTTTCAATATGCAAGTTCTCAGATCAATATTTGTTGATATGGTATGTCTTACAGTTTTCCTTGTTGAAATGTTTTTATCATTAGATATATTTTCGTTTTCAAGATTTAGAAATAAAACATTATAAATACATTCATTAATTTCTTTAAGTTAATATGAACAATGTTTTATTTTGCATATATCTGTACTGAATTACTATTTGTAATGTCAGTGTTACAGTTTGTATTAATGGTCAGATAAAAGCTTTGCTGATTGGCGTCAATATTTTACTTATAAAACTAAAAGTAAAACAAACAAGTTTAACTTTTACTGCAATAGCAAGAAAAAAAAGTGGATAAAAAACATTTTGATGGTTGAGTTCCACAAACTACTGAACCATAAACGAGAAGTAGGTAAACGACATATTTCTCAAATAAAACAGACGTTTATCTTCCACCATTGTCTTACTTTACATTACTCAAATGACCATGTCAATTGTCATAGGTTTTAGCTTTATTTTAGAACAATGCTTTCCATAATTGTTTAATTAACTACCTGAAATTATAAAGGCCTGCAAGTTTAATTTTTAGAAAAAAAAAGGGGGAGAGCAGGATCCCTATTTATGGGGGGGGGGGGGGTTGGGTTTGGAAGATAAAAACGTAAAAGTTTTACTTTTACTTTTAGGGCTATGAATAAAATGTGGGATTCGGCCCGGAGTGATGTAGTTAACTTATACAATGCAACCGAGGTAGTCTTAAAATTATAGTGTTTCCGCTTTTAGATTTAAAAATAATAATCAAGAACAAGTTATGGATCTCGGATATGAACAGATCCGAGAAAAATTAAGAACTGCTTTAACCAAATTAAAATGCTACAGGTTGAGTATAGCAAGATGCTCGAAACCTTTCAAATTAACCGACTGATCCAACGTTAACGACGCAGTAAGTCATTAAAAATTGGCGAGACTATTACTATTAGTATTATAGTAAGAATTAAAGCTTTTAAAGTGTACTTATTTCAGTAAAATTACAGTTATATCATTGTCAATAATATAAATAAAAAACAATCAATAAACCTGCTTTTCAGGACTAAGATTACACCATTAGTATTGTTAC